GGGACGGGAGCGCTGTGGGCAGTGCCACCGGAGCTGTCCTGGGCTCACTGCCACAACATGGGAGACACCACCCCAAAGCTGTGCTCATGGCAAGAAGGCAAAGGAGGGGATCGTGCCCAGCACACAGAGAAGTATTTATCAAGTGTTTTTCAATGAGTTGAGTGGGCAAAACCCCAGATGCTGAAGTTCAGTCCCTGGCTTTGTATGTGAAATTGTCTTCTGTGCCAGCATTGCCAAGTAGGACCCACCAGCATTCCCAGCTGGCATTAGAAATGCACAGGAGTGTTTCAAAGAGATCATTCACTATATTAGAAACATCAATATCTCTCTCAGGTTATCTGCTTGGTGTGGCACTGACCCTTGTGAAAACAGCTGTGCTGGGCATTAGTTAAGTTTCAAAATTATGGATCCACTCCATAAATTTCTTTCACTAGAAAATTACTGTAATTGTAGTAATTTCCTTGTAATGATGTGTGCTACATCTCATTAGCAAAGGCACTGGCAGGGGCTGGGTTCCAGTGCCAATGGCCCTGTTCTTGTGCAGAGCCACCCAAACGTGGGCTGTGCTGCCCCTGAGAGCTCCGGTGGCTCTGCAGCTCAGCCAGGTCTGGGGCTGCATCACCAGCCCTGCTTCCAGCTACATGCAACTGCCCCAGCAGAGCACTGGGAGCTGCAGTTGAAGTGGGTGGATAATTTATTTCTTTTTGCCTGAGTCACTGGTGAGGAGCTGTGGATGATTTTTGGGCAGGCTGGGTGGTGCAGAGCACACAGCCCTCCTTTGCCCAGTGGAAAGGCTCATCACAGGTCACATCTCTGGGGCTGCAGGTCACTTTCCCCAACAGCCCAGGATGGAAAGCTCAAGCCCATATTCCCCTTTGTTAAATGAATGAAGTCCCTCCTCCTGGCTTCTGAGGGGCTGGATGGAAGGCTCAGGGTGGAAGCCAATCCCTGTTCTTGCTGGCTCATGTATCTGCACATGCATACCCCCAAGAAATAAGAAAAAATAGTTCTCATTTTTTTTCACAGGCCCCAATAAAATCCAATTTACTTACCCATAGCTGTTGGGCACTTGCAAGTAAGCAGAGCTTAGAGCATTTTAGAGCTCACAGAGCAATAAAAGTAAGTAATGAAGTAGAGTCATAATAATAGCTGGAAAATATATTCATAATATATCTGGAAAATATATGAGCAGTCTCAACTTCATGTAATTGAAAACAGATTTAGCAAATTCAGGCTCAGAACAGTGACCTTATTTTGTAGCTGCTTTAAGCCATTTGTATCACGGAGTGAATTTCCAGAAACTCAGCCACCAGATTTCCTATACTTTGGACGATTTATGATCTCAGTTTGATTTTTCCCTGGGCTGTGCTAGCGAGTGAGAACAGCTTGATTGTGTGAATTAGAAGGTGTAAAAGCCTCTTCTGGACTCCTCACATTTTGATGATGGCAAATGGAGATATAATAACATCCCAGTTGGGGCTTTCTGATGCTCTCTCTTATGTCCTTCCCTCTTCAGTTAGTTCCAACTTTGATAACTCTGTTAGGCTGGTCATTTGCTTTGGTCTTTGCCTGTGATTGAATTATTTTGAAAAGCTAGGGGAAAATGAAGATTGCACTCTCAGGAAGAAATGATGGCAGGATAGCTGTGGCCTGATTATCTCTTTTCCAGCTGATCACTGTGAGGGAGGAATTTCTAGGTAGTGGCACTTGGCCTTGCTGGCAGCTGGGTGTTACCTTCAAGTCCTGGGCTTAAAGGGGAGGGAGGGAGTCACTGGAAATAGGTTGCCTGCATGTAGTATGGTTGCCCAGATAAAAAAGTCACAAATATCTATGTAGATCTAGATCTCTAGATTTTAAGATCTTTATGATCTAGATCTCTTTGAGATCTCTAGATCTTAAAAATTATGGAAATTTGATTTGGTTTAGTTAGATATGGTAAAGAATCTCAATTTTTCCCTTATGCTTCCTATCAAAAGTATCTCCCAGGGGCTGAAAGATCCCAGGGCAGCCCTACAAGGCAGGGAGTGTGTGAGGTTGAACCAGCTGAGGCTCTGCCTGTCCCTGTGGAGAATTTGTACCTCTTGAACCCAGCAGCTTTCTGCCAAAAGCTGCTTTCTGGAAGTCTTATCCATTCTGTTCTGAGTGTAGACACTTCTGCTGCCAGGAGAAGCTGGGACTGTCCTGATAAGGCTCCTCCTGGGCCACAGTGTCCCATCAGCTCTTATCACAGCAGCTGCCAGCCAGGGGACCTGGTGTCACCACCACTGTGGTCAGTCCTCCTCACCCGGGGTTTTTTAACAGTTTAATCTGGGCTGGCAGATCCCAGCCCCTCCCTTCTGCTCCCTCTTATCGCCCTGAAGTTCCCTGAAGGCATTTTCCCTGCTGGGCTCCAGAAACCCAGGCTCTCAGGCTGTTCCACAATTATAGATATGCAGCTCAAGGATTATCTCGTTACTCAGAAAGGCTTTTGCTTTGTGTGTTTGCAGACAAGTATTCCAGTTTATTTTAAATAACCATCAGCTTTAAGCTGACTGGTACTTGGTGCTGGTGGCTGCTTGCAAATAAAATTGGTATTTTATTCAAATTCTGTGGGGTCAGAATGCTATTATTCAAGCAGTGCTGTGGGGTCTCCAGACAATAAAAATTAAATAAAACTCACTGTCACCTCCTTCTTCCTCTAGATCTTTACATCATTCAGGTTTTTTTGTTACTTCAGGCTGTTAAATGCCACCAAAAATTCAGTGCATGTTGGTTTCCAGTGACCTGGCCTGTCATGGTAGTTGGTATCTGTCTACCTGTTCTCTCTGGACCCTCTGAGATAGGATTCAGAGCAGTGTTTTGGCACAGATTTTAAGCACAGGTATTTCAGAGGCTGCAGCAAAAATGCATCCTGGGGCACATTACTAAAAAAAAAAATCAAAAGACCCAGAGCAAAACAAATCAAGCAAGAGTAAAATGCAAGACAGAAGTTATAAGATATAAACTAGATAAAAGGTGTGGATTTTTTTGCCTTAAACTTAGCAACACCTTTGTGTTTTTCAGAGTTAAGCAAACTGTAAATTCCAATCAGAGTACTCTCCTGAAAAAACATCCACTTCACAGTTTCTCTTTCCCAGGAAGTTGGTTTATGTGACTTTTCTGGGAATTTATTTCTGCTGCCCTGTGTGTGGAAGGACAGTTTGAAGGTGAACAAGCACTGATTTATGGTTTACAATGAGGTGTTCTATATATAAAGAATTGTTTAGCCCTTGTGGGATAGAAAAGCTGTCATCCTTTTGATCTTGGTGCTGCAAGATGTGCATTCATTGCCAGTCAGGATCAGAAGAAACCAAACCTTGATCTTAGCTAGGATACTGCATAAATAGCAGCACTGGGGGGGAAAAGCTTCTCCTGCAGTGGTGCAGGGTGGAGAGGTGAGGTGGGTGGTGAGGATGGGCTCCTGGTGGACACAGCCTTTTTATCTCCTCCAGGGACAGACTGGCACCACAGGGTGAGCTCCAGCTGACTCTGGGGGGATGCTTCAAGCAATAGGTCCTTGCTGAAGTGCAGGTGCTTTAGTGCTCTGTAAACTAAAAAAAAAGCAGATTTGGGACCATTCCCTGAGCTGTGCATTGCTGTTCTGCACCCTGCCTGCTGCAAAAGGTCACGTTTTGGGGAAGGAATGGGGAAAACAATAAAGGCAGCTGGACCCTGTCTGTAGCCATTGTGGTGCTCTGGAAATGGTGCCCTCTTCACCCAGTGCTGCTGTAGACTGTTCTCCTGCTGTGTTCCTTTCATAATTGCCAATTAAATGGGCATCTTAGACTCAGTTTATCTCTGTTCTAAATTTGTCTGTGCCAGGCAAGGGAAACTGGGTTAGCATTTAGCAATGCAGGTATGTTTTATAGGAGCAGCAGCCTTGCTTTGGGGAAGAAATATCGACGTGTATGTGGAGAGTTGGCTAATTTTTTCCTCTAGCATCATTTCCTGAAAAAGAAACAGGGTTTATTATTGATTTGATTAAATAATAAATGATACATTCTCCTTCCACAAAGTAGGCAGCATTTCCAATCTGTGACTCTTCTGTGGATATGAATGGAAAGATTTTAAATAATATTTGACTGGGGTAGTTATTCCCCCCCCAGGCGCTGCTGCACACCAGAGTGTGGTGTCAGCAGCTTGGACAAGAAATGACAAATTAAAGTTTCTTTAGAGTTTCTTTTGTCTCTCTCCTGTTGCTTTATTGCTGAGCTTCACAGGAGCTTTCTCACAGCCAGCTCTGCTCCTGTGCACAGAGCACAGAGCAAGGCTCCAGATTTATCAGTTAAATGTGAGCCTTTGTCACCTTATCAGTTAAACTTGTGAAAGTCCTCTTTTAGCCCCTTGTACATGAATTTGATAATTTCTTTTTCGTCTTGGTCATTTAAGGAGTCCATAGTAGCCCCAGTATTAGATGAACTGGGACCAATGTATAAAATAACAGAAAATCTATGGCCAGATTTCCATGTCAGTGAAACAGCTTCCATTTAACATTTCTGTCCAGAGCAGGGAGATGGACTGTGCTGGAGAGGATGCAGAGATGGCAAAAGATAATGCTGGGTCTGTTGTAATTCCAGCCCAGGGTCCTTTCCTGCCTAGTTAATGTCCCTTAATTAGCATCCTGCATCATTTCAACATAGGGTAGACAAAACAGTCTATAATTTCTTTAATGTAGTTCAGTTTTAGGATGAAGCCCACTGGTTTCTCCTCTGGGTTTGAGCCATGCTTTGGGTTAAGAGCCCAATCAGTTGCCAATGGCCAGTGCATCCATACCCAGGAGCATCTTCATCTGCTCATGGTCAGCCAGAGCTGCAGGGTCCCACCCTGAGGCCTGTGAGCTCTGCTTTGGTTCAGGGTCAGTTTTGCAGAAGCACTTGGAGATATTTTTGGTGTGAAGCTTTAAATCTGTAAATAACTCTTGATTGTCAGCCTTGCCCCCCTGACTTTGCTGCTCCCTAATGGTGCTGTGTTGCTGTTTGCAGATGATGGGAAGCTGTCCCTGGAGGAGTTCCAGGCCTTCTTTTCTGATGGGACACTCAACGAGGAAGAACTTGAGAAGCTCTTTCACACCATTGACTCAGACAACACTAAGTAAGCTCAGTGTGCTGACACCCTTCCATTCCACAGAGCGTTTGGATCATGGCAGGGGTGTGCAGCAGCAGTGCTTCACCTCTGCACAGGCTGCAGGAGTGCAGCTTGCTTTGCAAAACTCTGTAAAATCTCCTTTTCTGCCTGGTTTGTGTCTTATCCTGACAGATATTATGATTTATTTTGTCCTGGTGGTTTTTTCAGCCCATTTTCTGGCCTTTACAGCACCTTCGTTTAATGTGGGCATTTAAATACCTTTTTACCTCTATCACTTTATCTGAAAGCTTTGCTGTATAAATATGCATATATTTATACAGCATATAACATATATATAAAACATTATATTTATTTGTTTGTTTGTTTATTTATCTGAAAGCTTTTGCTATAAAAGGCAGCAGAGTGAATCTCTAAGCACAGACCTCTCCTGTCTCTTTGTGCTGTCTCTGTATCCCCTGCACCTGGACAATGCCTGCCTCACTTCCAACCCAAAAATGCCCAGGAAAGCAGTGATTGTTCCAGCACTTAAAGACACAAGTGGCCCTTCTGGCCACACAAAGCCCGGCCAAGGCAGCCAGGGCTGGACCAGAAGCAGCCCAGCACTGTCAGCATCGTGGCTACAGCAGCAGCAGGGAAAAATGATGGCAGAGGAGGGCTCCAGGCATGCCTTTAGTCTGACACAACATCAAAGTTGAAGCTAAACACGGCCCCTGACTGCTCTCCCTGAGCACCAAGCATCTGCAGGCTGTGCCAGGCTATGGAATTAAGTTGACAGACTCGTTAGCAGCTGATGTTTCCTTCCCCGCTCTGTCTTTGCTGTCTCTCCCTCAGTGCTCCCTCTGCCTGCCTTGCCTCTGTGGGGTCTGAGGTGTTTGTGAGACCCTGACAGTGGCTGGTCCAGCAGCATTTGGGGTCAGCCTGAAGCCCTGGCTGTCTGGCAGGAGCACTGGGCACCAGCACAGAGGACACAACCCCCTGGTGGGTTTTCCCTTTCCAAGAGGAATCTGCCTTCAAAAGCCTGAGTGCTTTTGTCTATTTGAAAACACAGATGAAAACCAGCTTTGAGTCACATTCCAGTGTGACTCTTATTCCTCTGGAGAGAGAACATCTGTCCAAAAAGCTGAAGAAAGGAGAATCCAATTCCACATGAGAAGTCTTGAAGCAAGTGATTGAAAAATAATAATCTGGTTAATTATAAAGCCTTCTGGCAGCAGGGAGATGGAATTTTGCCCATGTGAGTGGTGCATTTTTTGCCACCCACCCAAAAGATCCAGTGGAAAGCAGTGATTGTGCTGGAGGGCACAGGCACAAAGCAGCAGCTGTAAAACTCATCAACACAGTACAGGGACTGCTGAAGAATTTCCAAGAGCAAAGTAAATGTAAGATTTCTCAAAATCGTGTCTTTCAATGTGTGTACTTCCCAAAGTTTTCCAAGGTTGAAAGTACCAAAGATCAGCTTGATATTCACCTTTCCCTGAACCAAAGAAAGTTTAGTGATCTTATTACTTAAACTCTGGGAATGATCCATCCTTTGCAAAGGCTCTTCTTCCACAGGTGCTGCCTCATGCTCTGTGGGTTTATTTATCCAGCTCCAGGTGATGCTCCCAGATGGGCTCTCAATGGGCTCTGGGGCTTGGGTGCTCACCTGCCTCTGTTCTGAAATAATTTATAGCATTGCCTGAGCTTATCAGTGCCCACTGCCTTTGGAAGGATGCAGATGGCTCCTGTGCAATCCAGGGCACTTGGGGTGAGTGTGGGGATGTTTCTTCTGGATTCCTTGAAATGTGAAATTTGACTGCAGCCCATTTTTCCTTGGGAATTGTAGGGAATTTGCAGCTTCTCCAAGCCTTAGTAAGGGATGTCTTCTAAGCTGGACAGAGAGAAATTGTGCCATTTGTAGATACCATGCAACAGTGCTGCTGGCAAGGAGTCCTGGTGAGCAGCTCCCAGGCGTGACAAGAGCTCCCACATCCCACAAACAGCAGGTTTGTCTTTAGCCAAGCTGGCTTGGTGCAGTCATCAATACCTGTTAGGGGCTGATGCTTGCAGAGAGCAGCAGAGCATCTGCTCCTCTTGGCTGGAAGGAAAAGCCACGAGTTGGTCACGCTTCCAAGTCAAACCTTGCATGAATTGGCACTTGTTTATTGATTTAGAAAGCACAGACATCTACAGCAAATGTATCTAGCTGGGCAAGGAAAATATTCTTTATTTTTAGTCTGCAAGAGCTGTCTTAGTCTTCAGAAGATCTGTTCAGAGCCAGGCTTCCTTCTGCAAAAGTGTTTTTTTCACTAGGAGCTGGGTAGTTTGCTTGATGCAGCCTTGCACCCAGTACAGTCCTTCAAGCCCAGGTCATGTGTGCTCTGTCCCTGGCTGTGCCTTGGGTGCCCTCACAGGGAAAGGGCAGCTCTGGGGGAGCCTGCCCAGGGGGGTGCTGCCTCTGGCCCTGGGGCTGCTGCCCTGAGTAAGAGGAGTGGAGTGGAGCTTTCCTTTTTCCATTTTACAGGGGAACAATATTAACTTGATCTTTCCCAAAGGCTGTTTGAATTATAGTTTTTTGCTATTTGATAAAAGTTTATTTATTTTTAAGTTTTTTGAAACTCTGCTTTATCTCCCCATTTTTTTTTAAATATTGGCCATTGTGTTTGTTTAGTGTGCAAAGCAAAGTTTGCTGCTGAGATTACATTACAGCAAGAGTAGAAAATGAAGAAAATTATGTTCCTGCTGATTATTAGTAATTGCTGCTACCAGCCAATTACAAAATGTTGATTCGATTTCCTGGAGTATTTTTAGAATCAGAGAGCTGCCTCACTGGAGTAGATAAAATGAATGTCTCCACCAGTTTCTTGACTGGGATTATCTGGGGAGGCAGTGGCAAGGAGAACAGCTGGGCAGAGGAGTGGGAGGTGAGGGGGGCTGTGGGTGCAGGAGCTGTGCTGCCCTGGGGGGTCAGGGCTGAGCTGCTGTGGCTGGAGCACTCTGTGCTCCTGTCCCAGAGCCCAGGGGTGCCTCTGGCAGCAGGGTGCGCTTAGCAGGATGCTGAACTGCAAATGAGATTCCAAAATAACCCAGTGGCACTCATGAGCTTTTTCCCTTCTTCTTGGCTGCCTGGGAAGTGTCTCTGGGGCATTCATGGTGTGGGGTGCTGGGCAGGGGCTTCAAGCAGCCAGCCCAGGTTTTATTGCCAGGGACCTCAATGCAGAACTGTGCTGAGTCCCAGCATCACCAAATCACTCACCTGGCAGCAGCAACATGCAAAAGGTGTCACGTGTTTCTCTTGGCGTTTTTTGGCAAAATTATATTCATAAAGCTGCTGTTGCTTAAAAACAACAACAAAAAATATAATTTTTCTCTCTGTTGCTCACACTGTCTGCCCCCATTCTCTCTTCTCAGTTACAGCTGGGGGGCAGGAACAAGACATTGCTGGGTAGTTTTTCACCACTAGTTTTAGCTGTTATTTCAGGAGGCTTCAGCAGTGCTCTTTGGGGAGCTGCCTGAAGATTACTGGAGGGATAATGATATGTTACAATTAATACCAAAGCTACTGGAACAGCACAAATATTGTGCAATGTATGTGCATGTGATGTATGGACACACATAACTAAATACATACTTTTTGTTTAGTTGTAGAAATGGGCTTTAGAAAACATTGGATTAATGGTTACCTGAGAAATTCAGTTATATTTGCAGAGCTGTCTGCACACTTGCTTACTTTTTCTAACAAGATGCATCAATTTGAAAAGGAAAAAGTCTCTGCAGATGTAAAGTCAAACAAATTTTAGGGTCACAAATGAACAGATGAAACCCTTTAAAGGTATTACTGTGATATATTTGTGATGCTGGACAAAGCTTGCTCTGCCTGGCTCACAGCTCCCATCTCCTGCCAGCTCCCTGGGTTGGCACTCACTCCCCTTGGAAGGAAGAAACACCTCTCAGCTCTTGGGAAAGCTCTGGGATGTCAGACATGGCTGTTGACCAAACAAGTGTAGTCCTTGCAGGGGATTTTAAAACCTCCTTTTCTATCTCGTTCATTTTTCATAGCTGCAGAGGACAATCCTTTGGGGAGAGATCTGCTCACTGGAGCAGGACTGCTCAGATGAGCTGCACAGGTCCATTCACAAGGACGTGGCATTAGCATTCTGCTGCTCTGTCATTTGTTATCTCTTTGCTGGGCTTACAGCTCTTCTTTTAATGGCTTTGTTCTCCCCCCTCCCCAGTCCAAATGAGCTCTTCTCTCCGGTGGCAAACACTAGAAAAGGCTGGAGTGTGCATGTAGGATAATTAACAGCAGCTTCTCAGAAGCCTTTGCGGCTTCCCCAGGCTGTCACAGTTGCCAGAGGATTGTGACAAATGGAGAACTGAAGCCTCCTGAGCTCTCCAGCCTGCAGTGCCCCTGGCAGTGCCACCTCCCCTCTGGTGTGCTCCAGAGGGGAAATTGCAGGGCATGGAGGGGAGAGCTGGTCACCCACCTTGGGGTGCTGAACAGCATCCTTCTCAGGAGAGGAAGTCACCTTCCTCCTCTGAGCTGTGCTATAAATCAGGAATTCGGGGTCTGCACGTCAGGGTGCAGAGATGCAGGGTGTGGTCAGGGTAGGAACCAGCCCGGTCAGCTCCAGAGCTGGGGGATGGGTGCAGAGCCACCCCAGAAGCAGGTAATGATCCTGATGAGCTGCTCTGCCTGCACTAATTAGTCCCACGGTGGAGCAGAGCGTGTCAGGCCCGAGAGCACTGTGCCAACACGGCTGTGCTGCTTCCAGCTCTGCAGCCAGCTCTTGGAGGGACCCACAGTGCCAGGGAGGACAGGGAGGAGCTTTGGACTGCCCCTGCTTTCACTGCCAGCATCAGCTGTGGGGCCAGCAGCTCTCAAAATGGGTTTTACACTTTGCACAGATGGATTTTGGCTCTCTGTTACTTTGAGTGCATCAATACCCAAAGGTGAAGATGAGTTTCTCAACACCCCCCTCCAGCACAGTCCTGCTCCAGACCTGGACACCTTCAGTCCCTTCTGA